CTGTTAATTCAATATTTAAAATGAATGATTATATTATGCTTCAAACATATTGACAACTTAACAATAGTACAGTGAGAAATGTGAACTGACGGCTCTAACAAAAATTCTAACCTGCTTGGGTTTGTTCATTGCAAAGATTAGTTTCTCTACTACCAATTAGCAAAAAATTACAGCATACACATATTAGCAACCCCATGTAGCAAATGAAAGAGTAAAACTGAAGTACTACCAACATCTTCCAACAGACAATATCAAACAACAAATACAAGTAGCATAATTAAATAAAATAAATAAAAATGAAGCTGCTGATAGTTACACATTCGATTTTATTAAAATAGAAGTTTATTATTAGTATTAGTTGCATTATAGAACACCTGTGAAAAATATGCAAACTATAATGTAAATTATGGATCTTACAGCAATATCAAATTTTACAAAGACTGAGGCAAATTAAGTAACTTCTTTTGTGATAAACTAAGTTTATTAATAAGACCAAATGAAATACTAACTTTTTTGTTCTTAAACAAATGAATACTGCACAAATTTTGGCATCTAAACTTTAAATATGATATTCTAAGATTGAATGAAGTGAAAGAATGGGATACCAAATTGAAGATCATCATTACTTTAAATAGATACTAAAGGACAATAAGATTAAAAAATAATTAAACATATTCTAGAATATAGTATGTTCTCATTAGTACTGGAAAAGATCTTTAGATCACTATATATTTGTTATTGCAACATAAACTCATGTTTCTTCCCAGATGTACTCTGAGAAAGTTTAATATTTATGAACTGGTGTAGATTTTGATATTCATATAAACTTTATAAAAGCCTTAATTTATAAGCTTTTTATTATCATTTGAATCAAATAGTTATTCAAAAATAAAATTGCTTTGAATATCATGCATAATATTTTGTCATAACATAGTTTAACAATCAATCAACATTTATACATTCAATTGTTCATGTTTGATAGTAAAATTAATTATTTTATGAACAAACTACCATATTAACTTTAACATTCATAATATTAAGAATAGATCATTACAACAATGTTAATGCACATCTTTACTAACCTTTCATATGCAATGTTGGTATTGCAATATTGCTTAACATTTTACTCCTGGTCCAGTACTTGGAATCAAAATGTGTATGACAAATTCTTTGGTTACATATATATCATCTAAGCACAGAAGGTTTCCACCAACTGCTTGAACCATCTTCCAATTAAACAAATAAACTAGACTTATAGCAGATAAATCTTAATAAAATTAGTTGTTTAACTAATTTTCTGGTGAAAATATTTAAATTCACATTATTAACACGTTGATTTAACCAATGTGATACGATCATTTAATTTGATTTAATTAATTAAAACAACGCGTTTTCGGACGTAAACTTACTCCAGCGCCGTCCTTTGGGGAGTTGTGGAACTAAATATGCAATGCCAGTTTCTATAGAACAGAAAAATGTTCTAACTACAAAGGCCCCTGGTCACATTTATTAACTCGGCTTTGCAAGGCTCGTTTGTCACCCTATCCTATAAAAAAAAGTTTTGTGCCCAATGCTGACGTGATCCGTAATGAACGTGTAGGGTGTGTCGATATTGATCGCGATACGTCATTCCAGATCGCGTCCCAGATTGTGATAAATATCACGCGTGTAGCTTTCGCCTTAGACCAATGGACGAGTAATGCGCCTAATGCTACGAACAAAAAATGTTGGTGTGGAGGAGGAAACACTAAATAGACAGTACTGCACACCTACTCAATAACATTTTGTGTCATTATGGCACTCACAAATCTAAATCTCCAACACTATTACATTTTACGACACCTATATGTTAAATATATCAACATAGAAAAGTTATAAGTGCAAGACGGACAAATAAATTGCGATGCTACCGTATCGATATTTTCCCTAAAAAAAGAGAAAAACTCACAAGCATTAACAAAATGCACTTCAAGAATTAAAATCATCTATTTGGTGGTCAGTTGACGTTTTAATTTCAAATTCTAAATTCAAATTCATTTATTTGCATAACACAGGTATAAAAGGTGTTACAGAAAAGTTATAATATGTACACTGTATTATTACCTTATGAGGTGTGCAAATACAATATATGTTTTGTCTTAAAGACATACAAATATAATTGAGTTCATTTGAAAAATCATGTCATAAAATAAAATAGAATAGAAATAATTGAATTTGGAATACTAATGAAAATTCTACATAATTAAATTGATTACAATAACAAAAAAAAATTTAATATTCAATAAAATATTAAATTGATTACAATAACAAAAAAAAAATTTAATATTCAATAAAAAGTAACTAGTCAAAATTTTCATTCTAGAACTCGTCAATTTTATAGTAACATTTGTCTATTAATAAGTCATTCAGCACCTTTTTAAATTTAAATAAGGTCATATTTTTTATTGAATCAGGTAGTTTATTATAAATTTGAGGGGCAATACCAAAAAAAGCTTTTTTTCATTAATGATGTTTTACATTTTATGTTACATAACCTATTTTTGTAGTGGGTGCGTATTGGATTCTTTCTAATATCAGATATTTTTTGGAAAAGAAATGGATGCTTTTTTACAAAAATAGCTGTTTCCAGTATATACAATGACGGCAGTGTTAGGATTTTTAAGTATTTAAAATAAGGAAAACAGCTATCTGTTATTTTGAGACCACACATTGACCTTACACATCGTTTTTGCATCCTAAATACAAGCTCCCTTTCAGAAGACTGTCCCCAGAAAATGATGCCATATCGCAAAACGGAAGCAACTAGTCCGTGGTATGCTATCAAAAGAGCCTGGCTGTTAACCTTTTTTGAAAGTTGAGAAAGCGCATATGCGGATTTGCCGAGTCGTTTGCATAGATCCTCAACATGAGGCTTCCAAGTGAGTTGATTATCAATCACTATACCTAAGAACTTCGCCATATTTGCTTCTTCAATATTAAAGCCTTGGTAGGAAATGATAATGTTTGGGTTTTCACGGCGTTGATGAAAGTGCATAACTTTTGTTTTATTTAAATTTATTTTTAAATTATTATTATTAAGCCATTCTATAATTTCGCGTAAACAGGTATTTATATCACTTTCATAATTAATTTCATTTGCACACTTTATTATAGCTGTGCTGTCATCTGCAAAGAGAACCATTTTGTGTGACGTTATTTTTGGTAGATCGTTTATATATATTAAAAAGAGTAGTGGCCCTAGTACGCTACCTTGTGGAACCCCGTATTTAATGTGCCTTGGTTTCGATAAATATGTAGTTTCTAATTTACTCTTTGGACATATTCTAGAAATTTCTGTGCATTGGATTCTATTACTTAGGTACGATTCTAAGAGCTGAAGAATGTTTCCTCTTATACCATAACCATGTAATTTGTTTAGCAAGATCTTGTGGTCTACATAATCAAAAGCCTTGGTCATGATTGACACATTGGACATGATTAATCACGATATCCAGTACATCCGGACATTTACGTTGGTCCGTAGAGACGTTGCGTTGGTCCGTAGGGACGTAAAACGTAGTTGTTGTTCTCGGCGTCTTCGTAAAGTTCATGACCCGCTGGGTTCATCACTCTGGTTCCCAGGCAAGGAGTTTCGCTTTTGGGTTCTCCGCGACGATGATAATTGCTACGTCTTCCATTAGTGTCTGGATGTCTGAGGAGCAAAATGGAGTCCCTGGTGGGCGGTATGCTGCAAAGATTCTTAGTTACTTGCCCGCAGTTTTCATTTTTAAGCTGATAGAGTGCATCGATTGGTAATCTGGCAGGTCTAGTTCTTGATGGACGATCTCTTCTCACTAAAACCGCCGTGCCTCTATAGGCGATTCTCTGAGGATTGACTTCGTCCCGCCGGTAGACATAGTAGACAGCTTCAGATACGTGGATGGTCTCACCTTAGTCTCTCCCAGCAAAATCACTTGAACGTACGGAGTTCATGGAGCAATGGATCCCATCCGGGTTTCAGTAGAGGTGTAAGTAACTCAATGTAGCATCTAGCCAGTGCTTATTTAATACTTGTTATCGGATCTGTTCCGGATTGAATGTCGGCCAGGACCTGGCTGCCGACCTCAATAGCGACATCTTCAAGCCTCTGTATGGCATCGGCTGTATTGTGTGTTAGGGTCGACTTTGGCCACGGCTGAGCTTTTGTTTCTCTTTTTTGAGTAGAGCGCGCTCTACCGTGTAGTAACGGTGTAAGAATATCGACTCATCCTGTGGGTGTTGTAAGAAGCGACAGAGGGCAACAAATCAGATGGGCGGCAGCGTCTTTCTAATAACTACTAAAAATAAAAATAAACTGTGGTTGCCAAACTGCTTGCCAAGCATGGCAACTATGGCAAATATCCCCCTATGAGTGCTGTTTCATTCACCTCCATTCCTCGGAAAACACGTAAAGCAGTTGGTACTGCGTCGCCGGTCGTGTCGAATTACCATCCCATCGGACTATGAAAGTGAGGGAATAGAGTGCACCTGTGCTTGCGCATACACTTGGGCACTATAATCCTGTCCTGTGCAGATGGCTGGTCTCTATTGAAGACTCGCCCGGAGGACATTATTATTATTACACTAGAAACCAATAATTATAATTCTTAAATCGCAACTTTTCAATAATGATAACACTGTGTGACCATCTACGTAACAAATAAGTTCACCTTAGCAACAACCAGTGACATCTAGTGAGCGTAAGATTATTAATCCTCATCGCAGCCAAGTGCTGCAAATGACCTCCATCCAGCAACATTGAGGATTGCAAAAGGAATTTCAACAAGTACAAATTTGATAAAAAAGAAACTTTATTTATTTTATAATAAAATAATCAATGTATTCCACTCACATGATTTCATGACATACAATTATACTATTGACAATTATCACCTAATAAACTAACATTAATCTTTAATTATAAAAACTGGTTATCACATTTTGCGATAAACGAGACAAAGTCACAAAACCAAAAACTTTATTTAATGTTTCCTAACGTTATGACTAAAATTACTTAAATTTCTTTTCATTTTTTCTCTCTCTTTTTCTTTATATTTAATAAACGCTTTATGGAAAGTTTGAGCTGCTTTCTTACTGTTACGGTTATGTTTAAACTTAGCCACGCCATTTGGAACATGTCTCTTTTTGCTAACTACAGGACTTTCTTCTATAGCTATAGACAATATTCCCCATAGGAATATCTCACTTTTCTCATTCTCATATATATCAGCAGATTTTGAAATACATGACATAATCTTATTCACCAACCTTGGGTACAAGGCTATAGAACAATTTCTGCTATGGTCAAATGGATCCTGTATGCATACTATACTATTCGACCGTAATGGAAGACAATTACGTCCTTTTAAATTCGTTTTGTATAATTCAAACTCCGGAGGGACATTCCCACCTTTTGCAAACAACTCTCTTTTGATAGGACGTCCTAAAAACGGACAGATAAGAAACACATCGTATTTAAAGTCCCTGTAGTATTTAAAAAAGCCACCCAGCAATTCATACAGTGACTCGTTGTTTCCGCTTACGTGCCTGACTTCTTCGAAGGCAACATTCCAATTGTCCACTATATATTCTGCATTTCTTTGCAGAAGCAATACCGATGGCAGGATGCCTTTATGCTGAAGATAGAATATTATTAATAAAGTTAAGGCGTAGTTGGGCATGAGGTTTGTTCCAGTCAGTTTGTGCACTTTTGCCCAATACTTGATTAAAATAGCGAGAGGTAACACTCTGTTGTCCAAATTCAGTAAAAATGCTAGTAGTTTACTGTTTTCAACTCCGGCTGGGCTTTTGAAACTAATGTCACAGTGTCTTTGAGTAGGGACATGATAAAACTTAACAATTGGGACTTTAGCATTCTTTATGGCAAACAACTCTCTGAATATATTGGGGTGTTTCATGAGAGCAGCTTTAGCTTTCGCTACGTAAGTGTCGCCAGGATTCTGTAACCATATCGGCAAGCGAATGAAACAATCCACATCACTAGATTTTATACCAAGGCCGGTGACGATTGAGCCAAATGCGTGAACTTGACAACCTGTAATCAAAAAGTTTATTGGTTAAACAGGGATCAGTAGTATTCACTTACAAATCGGTCAAGAAAGGAAAGACAATAGAAATAACTATGTTTGTACTATATATAGTAATGTGTATGTGTAGTAACTGAACACTGAATCTGAAGCATGATACTGAAACAGCAAATGGGCAGCAGCATTACAATAACTGCGATAAACATAACAAAAAACTGCGGTTCGGCTACCGTAGTTTTATCCAGATTGGTGTCTTTTTAGTAGGGATGGGCCGAATATTCATTTAATATTCGGCAGCTTTACAGAGTATTCGTATACTTTTTAGATCTTCGCAACAACCATAAAAAAAAACAGTTAAAAGTACAAATAAATCATCATCACTTATATCATATTGTTCATGTTCAGCAGTGGACTTTTATAGGCTAAAATGGAATGAAACGGATATAGTAATGTAACTGTATATATATTCAATCGGTAGTTCATTACAACCTCTAAAAATATCATTGTTAAACACAGTCACCCGTCCTTAGATTAACTGCCAGGTTAATCTAAGGACGGGTGACTATAGGCTGTATATCAGGAAGATATGATTAACATGGTAGAGACATAAGTACTGCAGTTATGTTATAATGGTTGTAGCACGAATGGGTCGGCTTGACCAGGGTTAGAAGCTAAATGTTTCATATGGTGAGTGTAGAGAAACAGAGACCCTTTTTAATGAGCATTGAAATGAGCATTTTGAATTTTTTACGAGGATAAATGTAGATGTCTATGGGTCCCAGCATCCACTTACCATCAGGTGGCTGTGTGCTCGTTTGTCACCCTTATTCTATAAAACAAATACTGCTGCAAATCTGTTTAATTTTCCTCTGTTGCGTCTTAAGACAGTCACGGGATGGAATTGATTAAACCTTGAGAGTGAGGAGATTGCTACCATGCTGTAAAATAAAATAAAAGTTACAGCCTATATATGTCCCACTGCTAGGCACAGGCCTCCTCTCATTTCTGAGAGGGTATTAGGCAAGGAAGTATCCATCACGCTGCCTCAATGCGTGTTGGCTAACTTCACATGTCTTCGAATTTTTTTTCTTATTTCTCAGACTTCTGCAGGTTTCTTTACGATGTTATCCTTCACCGCCAAACACGTGGTAAAATTGCAATTAACAATTTCATTGGTGCCGGCGGGGATCGAACCCGGTTTGCTCGCGCGCAGTAAAATTTACAGCGAGCGCTAACCATCTGAGCTACCACGGCTCTTGCTACCACGCTGGTTCTATTGTAATTCATATCAAAAATAGTACTTAAGTGCCTATATACATCCCTCAGCTGGGGATATCTCTCTCTCATTTCTAAGAGGGTTTTAGGGCGAGGAAATGTCCACCCTCTGATGTGCAGGTTCTCTCACAATATTTTCCTTAACCACCGAGCAGACATGGTAAATCAGCACTTAAAATTACAATTAATAATTTCGTTGATGCAGGCAGGGACCTGGGCTGTTCGCATTGTGTAAATTTAAGGCGAGTGCTTAGAATTATTTCACTGGGTTTGTTCTTCCCAGGATATAAGGTATTTTCCGAATTCCGAAAACCGCCTTGTGTTTTTATCTGTGTTTGTTACTTGCTATTTTATTTGTTTTTTAGTGTACAATAAATAGTATTGTACGCATTTTTTTAAAATTTGACACATATCAAATAATGTATAATGCTAGCTTTCTGAATTCAAAGGACAACAAAACAAGTCCATTTCTCCGTCTATCAAATTAAGAATGAGCAAGTGTCAGGGACGCCTGAGACATTAATTTCGTTATATATAAATTGTTACATAGTATACGGTTGAACACAAGAACAAACTTAACACTTAAAAAATACATACACTTTGCAATAATCTATATTGAATAAAAATTATTCTATTCCTATGGAGAACAAATGTAGAGGTTAATGGGCACAACATATACTTAACAGTGCACTGTGTGCTCATTTGTCATACTTATTCTATAAAGGTGAACATGCTCGTCAAGAACTTCAAGTGTAGTCTTCACGAGAACTGCCCGCATAGGCATTACATTGACATTACATATTACCTTTTTCTTGTCCATGATAATCTTGTGATCTTTTATATCTGTATAACATAACATGTCCTAATAGTAGAATATTAATCATAAATTAAATATTATTTAATATTTAATTAAGAAATATCACTTTTAGTTATGTCATAGATTGCCTGACTATCAAAAAGTGTTCAGTAAATTTTTAAGCATTTTTAACTGATTAAAAATACATTTAATCTTAGCTCTTACGGCTGACAATCTGTACCACCTATGTTTAGATTGTTGGATTCGATAATTTTTATATAGAAAAATCAACTGTTGTACATTAGTCTCGTTAAAAATCAAAACTGGCTTGACTGATTTTGATGAAATTTTTTGTGTGTGTTTCAGTGGGTCCCTAGGTGGTTTATATTTACATTTGGGCTCCGAAGGTGGCGCTGTTATCGAGATCCAAAAATCACCCATACAAAGCCATGGTGGATCGCTTGTAATATATGTTTTATAAATGGTTTTTACAATGATATCATTCTATGTGGAAATTCTCACACTTCCTTTTCTAATGCCACCAGCAGTTCAACACCCATAAAAAACGACATTCAGAAACAGAAACTTTTTTATTCAATGTAGATTTTAACAATACTTATTGAAAGTCACTTTTTTCATTTACAGTCAGCGTCAATAGAAAGGTGGCAGTCAAGGTGATCAAATACTTAGAGACATCCAAAGTGATCAATAATATTTAACCATCCAAAGTAGGCAAATTTTGTGATCATCAATCTTGCTCAAATATATCGGAATATATACAACGTCAGATATATGGTTTCAGTCAAACCATCCATAATACAGTGGCGAAGCTAGAGCTCCAAGCTAGGGCTGTCTCCACGCTTCAGTTTCGTATTCAGTGCTGTCAAGGACATGTTTAACAAAGCACACAGGCAGAAGGCATACCACTGCTAGATAGATTGTATTACATATCAGCAATTGCATAGCTTCGGTGGCTTTGAAGAAAGCAGTTTGGGTTTGTTTAAGCGAAAGAAAAAAAATATTTACATCCAATACAATACATGAACAAAAGTAAAACACGAACAAGTACAAACAAACTATGTACAAAATTAAAAAAAATATATTTACATTCTAATGGATAAGAGATAAGATAAGTGGAATCGTCTCGCTTTCTTATGGAAAGATTTAATTACGTCCACGTAAAATGTTGGTGAACGTTTTAATTGTACAAATAACTGTTTTTAATTGCGATAATTGATAAGTCTGAAATACACTCTCGATCTTGTGTATTATCTCAACAAAGTTTAAAGATTTCCTCTCCGATTATCACTTTAACACACTTCAATTCATCACAAGGAATAAGCTATTATACAATCTTCATTTAACCATTAAAAAAATGATCTTTAAAAAAGGATAAATTTTGAACTCGTAAGTATTAAATCGCTTAAGATACAGCACACAGAGTACAATAAACATTGAAACAGTGAAATAGGAACTTGCAAACGTAATGCCCGCGCGGCTCCGATTTTAACAAATTTAGTTCCCAAACGCCTGACTTCTAAATCTCTATACTAATCGCGTTACATATACAATCGTAGTTATATTTCATTATAGAATATTTTGTACCATAGGTTAGAAAGAAGCGATCGGCTTCTCGAAAGCCCCGTAAAAAGCCCAAAGCGCGAGGTCGAGGGAGACAATGCACTATTAGCTCATATTAAAACTCATTTTTTATGACGGCAGCAGTATCGCTAACCCAGCGGTTATTACTGTAGCGTTGCGATTACACTGTCCTAAATTGTAAACAATTTAGGAAGTAGAGCGATTGGGACCTCCAATTTGACTAAATCGGATCCTAACTGTTCTAACTACGATTACACCTTCCTATTTTCTAATTAGATTTTCTAAAAATTGTATAATGTAATAAGCGCTTAAGGCAATACGAGGTCATCGGTCGACATGTGTCGAACAGTGGAGTGCGCGGGAAATTTGAAATAGCTTGAAACATTTTACGAGTTATTTTATTAGTTGATATTATTGATTGATTCAGGTTTAATAAGGCAAGCCCGGCTTTTCGGCTTTAATGGAAGCTTCGCCACTGCCATAATACAGTAACAAACAAAACGTCAATGGTAGCGAAGCAGTTAAAATACTCAAAAATGCGGGACACAACAGGAAAAATAACTTTATCTTAATGGAATTGGGTGTAATTTATTTTGCACTAAGTTTTATTAAAAAATATACATTATAAATTATACTTCATATTAAATTATCAATGTTCCTTTTAATACAACTCAGTATTATTACTTCGCTTGCTCTTATTTTATGCTTGACGTCATTGACATGTTTTGTTCAGATTATTTTTATAAAATCACTAGCTGGCCAGGCAGACTTTGATCCTTTGTCATGTTCTATTAAGAATCCTAAAATTCGAAAAAAAATTGTGGATCACTCATGAGCAAAAAAACTATCCTATCTCTCAAGTTGGACCAAACTGCACACGGTGTGCAAAATTGGTTAAAAATCGGTTAAGTAGTTTAGGAGTCCATCGCGGACAAACAACGTGACACGTAATTTATATATATTAAGATTTGTGATGTTAATGTGTTATAAATTATAATTGTTAGATTTCCCGTAAAGCTTTAAACATTTTGTTACGATAATTTATTTGTTTTTTTTTTTTTGGAACATTTAAACAAGGAAATACAAGGCAAATAGGTTTATTTGTGGGGATTTTCTGAGTACCTATCAAAGAAATTAATTATATTCAATCCTTTAAGCAGAGCCAAACTTGGCCATCTTAGTCCTAATGTGGCTATCCAAGTAGAAATTAGTAAGAAATAAAAAGTTATAATTTGAAAACAATAAATATTTTAAATCAAATAAGTACAGATATAGAGGGAGCCGTGGTAGCTCAGATGGTTAGCGCTCGCTGCAAATTTCACAATACACGAGCAA